TATGTTTATTGCTGCTCAGCATACGACACCGGTCGCAGTATATGCTGCCCGACTGCTAGCAGCTATTGGCAAGCCCAGCTTCTAATCCCCACCAGCATGGATTTCACCTCTTTTTGCATCCAATTTATCCTTTCTGCTTTATGTGCTCTTCCCTTTTTGGGTGCGTACTTTTGAGAACTGTTACAAAACAAATTCTAAAGGAAGGAGAAGAGCTGCCATGTATTAGAAAGACCATCCTCTTTTTAACTGGGGTTCTTAAAAAGGCTTTATCAACCCTGACATACAAAGAGCAAGTCTAGCTGCCAAGAAGCACAAAGAATGTAAATGCAACTCTGAAAAAAAAAATTATCCTTTCTCTCTGTAATTATTCCAATCATGAGGTATTTTATTTGTTTGCTGCTGCTAGCGAGCTTGATCAGCGGAGCACTGGTGACAGAGACACAAGTAGTCGTAGAAACAATCACAAAGTACGTCGACAACCCACAGCTTGAAGCTATGCATGGTGACACTACCGGTTCTGCAGTTGTACTATATCCGTCGTTGCTTCCGTTGATTGTTTTGATGCTCATGTGAACTTTATTTTCCAATATCCAGCTGACTTGTACAGTACGTATAAACCCTCTTTTGTTTTGCCAAATAAATTACATTTTTTTCAGGATAAGGTGTTTCGGGTTGAGTGACGTAACTCTAAAATGAGTGATGCTTTAAAAACTAGAAAATTTGAAGATTGGCTATTTTTCCCACATTTACGAGAGTAGGGCATGAGACAACTGCATCTATGAGTGATTCCAACCAAGGATCCTTTAGCCTTTTTGTTTCCATGAAAGGGCGGATTGGTAAATGTGACACACAGAAAAGCAATATATGCCAGAGTAAACAACCAAGTTTAGTAGAACAAAGTAAAAAAACACTAACTTTCTTAAAAACAAAGACATATTTACGAGTATGAAGAATCAAAAAAAAGGGGGGAATGTGGTTGCATGACTAGAGTTTCGGATGTTTTTTTTTTATTTAAGCAGCTTTTGTAGTGTAATAACTACATAAATCCTTCCTTGATACTCCCTTTCCCTCCCCTATACTCTTCCATTTTTTTCTTACAAAAAAATTTTTAAAAATATTGGCTAAAGGAAAATGATACTTAATAAAACCGCATGGGATTATTGCTTGAGGTCAACCGGCGGATGGTTATGCCAAGATTGTTTGAATGTATTTTATACACTTGAAGAGGTAGCAAGTCATTCAGCAAACTGTCCAGATAAAAATATTTAATTGGTTTTCTTGGTATCTTGCTTTTTGAGCAATTGAGGAATAAGATAGCTTTCAACATACACTCTGCCAATAACATAAACGACACATGCAGATAGGATACAGAACATGATGGCAACGATAGGCGAGATAATGAATTCTTCTTGATGCCGCTTGGTAGCCATCAGCGTGGAGAGGCCTGTTCCCTCGTACCATCTGGCGTTGAACTGCATTGTGGTGACGCCCGGTACTTGGTTGGGCAATGGCCGGCCAACCGCGTAGATGGCAGCACCAACTACCCGATTCTTGTGCCCATGGAACACCGCATTGTAGTTTCCCTTGGTAGAAGCAAATAGTGGGAATTCCGACATCGTTTCCGTTTCAGTTGCTAGGCGGCAGCATACGGGGGATCTGCCATTTGGAAATGTGTCCGATATGAGACGATGGAATGGAGTTCCGTGCTTAATGGAGCATTGCTGCAGGCCGTCGTTGCCGTATACGAACTGTAGCTGAGAATCGGTTTCCAAGCAATGCGGCCTGACCCACTGAGGTTCAGTGCCGTTGCTGGCAGCCAAGCAATTGAAACACTCCAACTTCACCTGCATGATAATGAAAGAGAGCGAAAATAAAGTATCTTGCAAAATTGCTTATATGAGTTGTATAGGTTATAAAGTAAAAAACGAATACAAAGTTTTAGTTTATGGGGGCTGCATCACACATTGGAATAAAGTAGTATAACGTCAAGCGCTACTGCTTAAGGGGGGAGATTCTACACACGAATCCTGCTAGTGCGAATAAGCACGCTTAAACTACGCAAGGTAACAACCAACGAGAACAATGCGGAGATCAGCCCAGTCGCCAGGCTGGCCTTTGAGCTACGGCACCACGAGCCATCCAGCTTACGCGAGCAGTCCACAGCCACGACGTTAATCAGCACCAACACGACCCAAACAACGAAAACAGCAAAATTGAAAAACATCGTGAACCACGCCAGCCTAGACATCTCAATGCGCTCCCGAGTCTTGCGGAACATATGAAGGATCAGCGAAATCAGCGCCGTGCCTGCCGTTATGCCTCCAATGACGTATACGGCTATTTCCACATTTCTCTGCGTGAATCCCACGTTGCTGTCCGTGGGTCGTTTGTTCCGTGAGTCTGCTTGGAACCCAATGCATACGAGGGCCACGACTAGCTGAGCTAGCCGAGTAAACACGTAGGTCAGGAACCTGGTGGCATTCCATTTGTCCATGGTTTTCATTCCAATCACATTATGCGAGCTGCCACTGCCCTTGGATGTCTCGTACAGTGGCTCGACCTTGGTGGTTTTCGTTATGTATTCGGTACGCGATGGCACTCGGTTGGTTTCCGTGCCGTATCCGGTTGCTTCGCTGTATGACCCTGCATACGGATGGCTTGGATGGCTCATTGATGTAATGTCCACATCCCGGGTCTCATAAGCATTGCCACGTTCCATCTCTGATTATCTAAAGGCGAAAAAAAAAGGAAAGGGAGAAAAGAGGGAGCAGATTCAAATGGCTACTTAGTGGCTATTGTTTACGTTACACAACGTGCTGTAGAAGAAAAGGTGCAGTAATGGATACTCAATCTAGATTCTATGGGCGGAATGAGTCAAAACGCAAGCCCCAGGCTGTCTCCAAGGCTGGTTTAGTCTAGCCAGAAATGCGTGTGGAAGGGTGCTTTTACGCAAAAAGAAAAAAATATCCACCACAATAAAAAAAGCTGATGGTGGGTCTCGATCCCACAACCGCTTGTTTAGGAAACAAGCGCGCTTCCATTGCGCCACACCAGCACCCAACTAATAAGACAAATCTTTGGGATCTACTTTCTTATCCAAGCTATATAAGCCGTAGCACTTGAATGCCACAAAGCCTGCACTTTTAAAAAAAAATAGGGGCGAAGCTGCAGCCGCACAGAAAAGCGTAGTAGTATTGCTGTGTGATACTGGTGGGCAGGGTCTTGCCTATTCCTGCGAAGGCAATGGGCTCCTGTGATTTGCTTCCATCAGAGCTCAGCCCGTTGGCCAGCTGCTTAGCTACCTTTCCGCACCATCAGTGTTGGATGCCACAAGTTGGTGCCAAAGCAGCTGTTATCTAGAGCCCAAAATGCGATGGATATTGGCGTATAAATATGCCCGGCGCTAGGTTTTACTTTTTTTTTTCCTTAGAGAAATGTACGTTTTAAACATTCCTGGCATCTCCCCGTGTCTTTCTTCAAGATCCACCCGCCTTGTCGAATTATGCAACAATACTTTCACGCAAAGGATTTAGAGTGCACCGGGTATTTATTTAGAGATCACTAAAAAACTATATAGTTTAGTGGGAGAAATCCCAAAAAGCAGGCAGGTGGCCCAGCAGAATAAGCAGGCAAACCTGATTAACGGGAATTGGAGCCACCGGCAGTGACCTGGGTGGTGGACGTGGTGGAATCGCCCTTGGGAGATGGTTGAACTGGCATTTTTCTTTTGTTTTTTTTACTTGTAGGAGATTGAGGTTTTTAAGAAGGAATTTTTCTTTCTTTATATAGTGCGCACCTGTCTGCAAGGAAACAGCGAATATGTTGATATAGATTCTCCCCCAAAACACGCTCGTCTTTGAATGCTGGCCTTTCAAGGGCAGCCTATGCCGTAAATTTTGTTTGTTGAGCTTGTTCTAAAGTCTCACAAAGTGCCCGACATCGTCAGATTCAAGCCAGATAGGGTTGCAAGACTTTATACAACGAGAATTGGCACAGCTGCGCTTTCGAGCAGCTTGATTGCTCCGAGAGAAAGGGAATACTCGATAATTTATTCAATGCAGGGATTTTTTTTTTGGTAAGGGTGCATTTTCATGAGGAGTATTTGAGCATTTTGGTAGACAGGTGGATAAGAGCGATCTGCGATTCGGAAACCTTGGCGTGTAGGACGAGAGAGCCGCGGATCTTGTAGTCTCGGGAAAGACCCATGAACTGGGCGACCAGCGTGCCCTTTGCGTCCTCCAGTTTCCAGCAGTCCTGCATCATGCCGGCGATCCAGTCGAATCGCTGGCCGTCAAAGTCGATGAAGGCCCAGGTGGACTTGGTGCCGTCGAAGCCGCCGTTGGTGAGCTGGTTGTTGTAGCGGAACTGCACGAGGTCCTTGTTGGCGCCCTCGATGATCGACGTCATGACGGAGGCGCCCGAGCGGCCCTGGCAAATGGAGGCTTCTCGCTCATGCACTTTGATCGTCCAGATGGGCGTAAGGTCGTCGGCTTGCGAGCTGGTCTCGATGAGGCCCGGGTAAACAAACGTCCGCTTGTTGAACAAGTATGATTCTTTAATGTATGTGAATGATATTGTCATATTTGTTTAATGCCGAAAAAAAAGGAAAAAAGATAATTAGAGATATAAATGGATTATTCCATTTGGTATTTAAGCAGATTTTTTTTCGTGGGGGATCTACGGGGCAAACTCCGATGCACACACAAAATTTATAATTGGGATTTGCAATGAGCGATAGAGCGCGCACTGATTCATCTCGTCAACCCAGGCCAAAACAGTGCGAGAAAATCACTAATGTATTGCTTAGAGGAAATATGGATCTGCCCCGCTTGGAATATAAATATTTGTGCATGGTTCAGAGCCTTGTCCGCTTTGCCGAGCGAGTAAGGGGAGGCGATGCAAGATTATTGCTCCTACCGCGCTTGGCAGCAGCGTCCGATATATTATCGGAGGCTTTGGGCTTGCGTTTCCTATTACTGCGTGCAGCCGCGGGCTTTTCTGTGCCGGGCTTCTTCTCTGTGCCGGGCTTCCTCTCTGTGCCGGGCTTCTTCTCTGTGCTGGGTGTCTCTGTGCCGGGCTTTGCAGCAGCAGTTCTCCTGGGTCTTCCTCTGGGCTTCTTTATCTCTGGCTTCTTCTCTGTGCCGGGCTTCTCTACGCCAGGCTTCTCTGTGCCCAGCTTCTCTGTGCCAGGCTCGCTCTCTTCACCCGCCTTCTCTTTGGCACCAGCCTTTGGCCTGCGCAACGCATGCCCTCCCACCACCTTGGCCTCTTCACAAACAACCGGCTCCAGAGCCTTGAGCTCCCTCGGCACTCTGCCCGCTCTCTTCACGGCCGCGCTCTTCTCGACCGCGCCCTTCACGGCCGCACTCTTCTCGACCGCGCTCTCCCGGGACGCTGCCGGGGGATCTACAGAGAACTCGGAAACGTCCAATTGAACCGCATGCAGCTGAACCCGCTGCGCGTCCTCGGGCGTATCGACTAGCTCCCAGTCGGCCTCGATGGGCCGCGGCCGCGGCGGATACGCGTGCTGCTCCGACAGTCTGCGCGTCGAGGGCAGCACGCGCTGCGAGTCGGACAACGGCGGCTGGCTGCGTTCGAACGGACTGCGTGACGTGTTGGGCGGGTACATTGAGGAGAAAAGAGGCGGGGCTGGCGACTCGACGGCCGTTTCGGCTGTGCTGGGCGTGGGCACGTGATCCAGGTCCGGTGACCGCGGCGGTGACGAAAGCACCGCCGTGCCCGTCCACCCGCGCCACGACGACCGGCGCTGCTTCAGCGCGGCAATCGTCTGCCGCCGGCGCCGCCGCTCCTGCTGCCGCCGCAGCCGCTCGCGGTGCATCGTCACGTCCATGCTGTCGGCCACGTCGGCCAGCGCGTCGCCCACGTGGTCCAGGCAGGTGGTGCGGCGCCGCTGCTGCTTCTGCTTGGCCGTGGTCTTGAGGTCCTCGAGAGACACAGTGCCTAGTCGGGCCTGCAGGGCTGCCTGTTCTCGCAGCAGCTGCTCGGATACCATCTGCAGGCTTTCTGACTCTTCCCGTTGCTGCTGCTGCTGCTGCATGGCTTCGGCCAGCCCCACAGTGGGCTCGTTGGTTAGCGGCACTGCTGGCGGCTCTTCCGCCTCACTCTCCCTGGCTTCCTCTTCCTGTGCGGGTTCCGGCGTTACGGTATCTCGTGGAGAGTCGGTTGCCTTGTCTTCCTCGGCCAATGGCATCTGCGGCATGTCCTCGCCGAGCGCCTTGGCCATTTCGGCCAGCGACGCGCCAATCGTGTCTGCCCAGAGGAGCGCCGAGGGCGCGGTCTGCCGCCGCTGCTTTCTCTGCTCTCTGCTGGGGCATTGCTGGAACAGCCGGGAGGGCGTCAGCGTGTTGTGGTCCACCTTGCGGGTCCGCACCAGCAGCGAGGGCGAGGACGGGCTGCTGGCTGCGGGCTCTTCCGCAGGTATTTGCGGCGGCAGGTTGCGCAGGCTGCGGCGTCGTCGGCTGCGGCGGTCCTGTGGGCTGCCCAGTATCTGTGGCGATTCGATCTCTCTGATTGGCTCTCTTGCATCCTCTGGCTGGGAATCTGGGCTATCTGGCTGGGTATCCTGCGGGCTGTCTGGCTGGGCATCCTGTGGGCTATCTAACTGCGCATTCTGTGTGCTTTCTGACTGCGTATCCTGTAGACTCACTGACTGCGCATCCTGTGGGCTACCTACTCGTAATAACCTGCTGGGCGTTATGGTCTGTCGCATTACAGGCGAATCAGCAGGCATCAAGCAAAGGGCTTCCAGCGGATTCATTGCTGGCGATTGTAGCTGCCGAGGCTGCTGAGACTGCCGAGACTGAGGCGTAGGTGCTGGCAATGACGACAAACTCACCACGCTGTCATTGGCCGCTCTCGTCATATCAAAAATATCATCCACCGGCAAAGATGGCCTGAGGATACTCGCTCCCCTGGCCATGCGCATGGGCGTGCCACGGCGCAACGGCGTGGAGGGCGGCGCCTGCGTGTCGAACAGCTCAGGAGACAGCTGCGGCCCAAAGCGCACGGACTTGCGGGCCTCGGGCGTCTGCTTGAGCATCGGATTCTGCTTGAGCATCGGGGTTGTGGAAGTCTGCAGGGGCAAGCAGGGCTCGCTGTCGGATTCGGGCTCGGGCTCCGTGGGCACTTCGCTATCCGAGTCCTCGGGCGGCCTCGGTCGAGGTTCTCGAGCCATCCCCATCGACCTGGTCCTCTGCAAGGGCGACGCTTTCGATTGGCATTGCGACTCGGGCACCTTCGATGTCTCCATGCTGAAGCTATGCACGCTGCGGGCCATCTGCTGAAACGCGCCCCTGGAGGCTCCCTGGCTAAACGGATCATCCTTGTAGTGTTCGTTCCACTTTTGGAACCTGCGGGCCGTCTCAGGGCTCCCGATGACGCTGGGCCGTTTGCCGCCAAACGACTGCCGCCTGACCAGCGGCTTGTCTATCGTGCGTTTGATGATCTCGCTTTGCGGGCCGTTTAGGCTGGCCAGCCTCTGCTGCGGCTGTTCGGGAGTGGACGCGGGCCGTTCATAGCGGAGGGATCGGCCCACAATGGTTATTATGTCGTTGTGTTTGAGCGTGTGTTGTTTGCCGAGGGGTATGGCCTGGTCGTTGATGCTCGTGCCGTTTTCTCCGTAATTGCGCAGCACCACGTCCTTCCCGACTGCCCGAATTACACAGTGCATTTTCGACACTTGCGGCTTCTGCATGCGTATGTCGCAGGTTTCTTTTCTGCCAATTACCACCCGGCTATTGTGCATGGGGAACGCTTTGCCGTCTGCGCCTGACCGCGATATTATCACCAAGCTGCCGTACTTTGGCTCTGCCATCCCTTTGAACATATACAAAAAACCCCCCCACCTTTTTATTGGTTGGGGCCCTGGAGATAAAGAAAATTGCTAGAAGAAAAGAAAGCGACAGAAGCAAAAAAAAAAGCAAGTTTGTTTACTTTATTCCTGTATGCGAACCGAGTCACACGGTAAAAAAGAGCTGAGCTTATAAAGCCCTTGAAGCAAAAAGGAAGCTCTTTTTTTCTCTTTAAAATAGACAT